CTTTTTAATCAAAGTGCCAACACAGAGTGAGATGGCAGCAGGGGTGTGATGTGAGCCCGCAGCGGATGAACCATCATCTAGATCTTAGTACTCAAACTCATGACCTGAACTGATACTTAAAATTTATTATGGTTATTAGAAATGTTATTTTATTATTGTTTCCCTTCTCCAATTCATCCTTCATTTCTTAGGGAAAGAAACTAATATAAAAGTGGAATAAAAAAATAGTGGCTAACAAAACCACAGCATAAGTAAAAGAAGAACCAACATGGGTTCTGCCAATAAAAATGTTCCTTCATGGCTGGCTAACCAACTCAAATGCTTCTACTGACTCACTGGCACGCTACCAAGTGAACAGTTTCAAATGTTTCCAAAAACTGACGGCCACCACTTGTTTGTAACAGATGCTCAAAAATTACAATCATAAATGCTAGGGTTGGAAACAAATGATTAGGTCATTACATTTGGTCTGATGTGGTCAGGACTATTGCAAAAAAACTAGACTATTTTAGTGCTTTGCTAACAAATTTTCTGTATTTTTTATATATAGAGGCCAGATGCCTTTTCCTCAGGGGGGACTTTTCTTACTCTAGATCTGGAGTCATACAAATGCATGTTTGAGTCTCTTGTACATCACATTCCTCTCATATTTCTTCTGCATTTCAAGTTCTCTGTTATAATGAAAAACTCTTTTTATGTATTCAATGATCAATAATTAAACACTATGAACATCTAAAATATGGTGGGTCCTGCCATGATTAGAGTGAAGAATCTGGTTGTCACTGTCAATATCCACAGGTAAGATATTACCTTCTTTCTTTTTAATTTCTTATTTTATTGTCATGAAAATTCTATGAAGCAGGAACAATTATTATTGCCATTTTTTAATGTTTATTTTTGAGAGAGAGAGTGTAAGTAGGGGAGGGGCAGAGAGAGGGAGACACAGGGTCCAGGCTCTGAGCTGTGAGCACAGAGCTGGACACAGAGCTTGAATGCACAAACTGTGAGATCATGACTTGAGCTGAAGTCGTATGCTTATCTGAGTGAGCCACCCAGGCGCCCCATTATTTGCCATTTTAAAAACGAGTAGACCGAGGCACCAAGAGGTTAAAGAACTTCCTGAAGTCACTGAACTAATAAGTTCTGATTCAGGCTCTTTTATTCCAGGAAGTATGTTCTTCCTACTTGCCACAAGTAATTAAGAGGCAGATATCATGTAGAACTAGTTGGAGGGAGTAAACATCTTACAAACTGACAAAAGAATGAAGTAAATTCTGACCAAAGCTGTAGAAACTGGTATAACCTCAAATGAGGACAGATTAGCAGAACTTGCTCAACATATGGAGAGAAGAAGTCCAGAATATAGCAGAAGAAAGGCTATTATCTTGGTCAGCTACATAGTGAAAAGGAATCAAAAGCTCATTGCATTAGAACCCACTATGTGTCATCCATAGTGTTTTGTGTATAATTACACTTAGGTTGTAATTTTCCAACTGAGGTTTCATGAATCATTACTTTATATTGCACGCCATACTTTGAAAATCTACATTTTTTTTAAATTTTTTAATGTTTTTTTTTTTGTTTTCTAAAATGGAATTTTTTTTTTTTTTACAAATAGTTTATTGTC